TTAGCATCCTGTACAAGCTACTCCAGTGTCAACACTAACTTTTGGAAATCATGACCTGAATGAAACCAGTTTCTACCCGACAAGTCAAAACATATTATTTCACTGCTAAAAATCCTTGGCCAACTCTATAACACCTACAGAGGAAACTGTTTCAGACACTTTGTAAACTCCCACTCTAGCTTCAAATACTCATGCAAACTGTACTCAAAAGACCGTAAATCATGCATTTTGGCTCCAAAGGGTTCTATTTATCCATGATTCTCGGTCATTACTGTAGTTAATCATTGAACCCAAAACTCTCCTTGCCTCCTTTGCTCTGCTGGACAAACGACCTGGTTAGGCCCACCTGAAATGAGGAGCTTTTTCCAGATCTTTCCCTTCCATTTTATGCATAACTATATTTAAGACGACATTATGGGTATAATAATTATTTGCTTATTTCCTAGACCCTAAAACTTCTGGTGGGCAGGGAACTGACTTACGCATCTTTTTATTCTCCCCACTAAGAATAGGGCCTGGCTTAGCGCAGACTCTCAGTAAATGTTCCACTTCCCTATTTTGAAATATGTGGTCATAAAAAAGATATTATTATCTCACTTCTTTCCCTAGTAAAAGTAGTTTTAAGAGGTCAATCCTCCCAGTTTTTAAAAAAGACTGAAAGAAGAACCCAAGGATTTAACTGCATTGCCTTTTGCTAGAGGCAGTTTGTGGATATAATCTTTTATGGTCGCCAGTGACTTCATATTTTGTAACTCTTCAACTGTCCTGGCGTATTACTTGCAGAAAGGATTATAGAAGTAGACACTGAATCCCATCTCTGTCAGGCAGTCCCACAAACAGGCAAAACTTCCAGCACAAATTTATGACTCTTAAAAATATAAAAGCAGTTCAAGGACTGTAGTTTCTAAAAAAGAATATAAAGGCTACATTTACAGTAACATCTGCTGCACCAGCATAAAAGATGAACTTCATCACGTTTGCTGGCGTCCACGATGAATAATGCATCGTCAAAGCAGAGGGGTTGCCGGTGAATTAAGATAATGCTGATGCGGAATAATCAGCATTTATTTCAAAAAGATCAAAATAGTAACTAAAGTAACAGAAATGGTTGTTTAAAAATTTTGTGTTTCTTATTTCATCTCCTTGAGTCAGAAAAACAGGAAATATTAATTTAGTGAATTCTACTACCATCTGTAAAAATGTCAGATCCCTCACTTCCTAAGTGAAAAAGTGGCATATTTTTCAAACACCTTTAAAATAAGTATTGCAATAAACAATGGAAAGCAATGTTGTGGGTTGGGACATAGAAATGGGCAGGTTTGTACAGCAGCGGCAACGTCCCAGACGCTGCTCCCTTTACGTGTTCTAGTAGCTGACTGATTCCTCTTTTTGTCGTCCTCATTTAAAAACATGCCTCTGGGCCAGCCAGTTTATAAAATGAATTCATGCTAAAATACTAGGGCTAAATGAGGTCTCTTTTCCGCATGAAATCAGAGAGCCTGAGATCACAGGGCAGAAATAAAGTCCTAATAAGACATTAGGCTGTTGTTATTATTTGTTAGAAGGAGACAGATGAGGGGCATCTTCGAGTCCATACTCATCCTCTCCTCTGAGATGGTCCCCCGTGATCTAATGTCACACGGCACATAGATAGATAAACCATTGTACACACTCTATAAGGAACGTAGCCAGCTTAGAAGCCACCAGGCATTACATGAGAATGGTGGAGCTCAACCTATCTTGTCCATCTCATTTGTCTTGAATTATATAGGTCTGGGAAAAATCTGGGTTTGGGGGCTTTTCCCACAGAAGGTGACCATTAGATAGAGAGGAATCAAAACCTTTTCCCTTCTAGATAATGTAGAATTATTAATAATTCAAACCTTTTTATAGTAGTAGCTGTATCTGCTTCAGTTCAATGTCTCATCCCCATTATTTTACATAGTACATAATACATAAAACGAAGTTACTTACAAAATAATTATGACTAGATGGCTGAAAGGAAGGCAGGGAGGAAAGTTCAGGACATTCTTTCATTTTTTCTATGCTGGACAGGTAATTTCTATGAAAACCTTTTATACATCACTTGACCTCTTTGACCCTATTGGGCAGTGGGGACAAAAAGCTGAAAACATCCTGTGAAGCACGTTTAACCAAAATATTCCCTTAAACTATACTTCCCAAATATCTGTAAGCATCACGCTAAGGTTTTAGATGTCAAAGCGTAGTAAATGCGTTAATTCTACAATATCTCTGATTAAATGTTTTGGTCAGATAATTCTGACACTTAGTTGTTCAGTGACCACAACTAGTCCAAACAGAGTTAACACAAATGTCATTTGTTACACTGTCCTGAAGATCAGAGGTGAACTAAGCACCTGGGTAGATTCCTAAAGAGTGTGAAGTCATTTTATAAACTGCCAAAATTATGTTTTGTGTAGAGAAGCATATTCAGTTCAAGATACTCCAGGGCAGGCATCCTCAAACTACAGCCCCTGGGCCAGATGCAGCCCGCCTAGGACATTTATCCAACCTGCCGGGTGTTTTTGCTGCCACTGCTGGCCCGGCTTAGCAGCAGACTTGTCCTGGGGCCCGCAGTCCGGCCCTCCAGCAGTCTGAGGGACAGTGAACTGGCCCTCTGTTTAAAAAGTTTGAGGGCATTGTGGCAATAGAATTCTGAAATACAGGGCCCAAGTGATCCTCTCCTATTGGTCTCCAATGGGGCGAGGAAAATCCAAAAAGATAGATAGGGGCTAGTGTCTTCCTTTTATAGCAGTAACAGATATATATTTTCTGAGTACAGATAAAAATGGAAACCACTTAACAAAATCTCTAACAGCAAGTAGACTGTCAAGGTTACATTACTTAACCTTTTGTGCGTGTGTGTGTGTGTGTGTGTGTGTGTGTGTGTGTGTTGGGGGGGTTACTATATCCCTTGTTTTCAAATATGAGAACTTAGCCCTGATACCTTAGTAATCTGAATCTTAGAGTAGGTTTCTGGTGGTAAATTGAAATTTCAAGAATAAGAAATTAAAAAACTTAGCCCAATAAGAAATATTGAGAATATTAAAATATCTAATTTTATCTATTTTATTTAGCTTTTTTTCTTTCTATCTCTTTTTCTAGTTAAACAGCATTCTTTTACAAAGAATAAAGCCAAACACAATTTAAAAAGTCATAGATAAAATGGTAGTTCAACCTCTGCTTCAGATTTCATCAATTAACAAAACACTTACTGGGTTGATTTCAGAAGGTTTTAACACATCTAAGAACATTCGTTAGCCTTAGCTTACTTTCTCATAAAAGTTTGTACTCCAAAAAGTTTTCACTGCTTCCTATTGTGTCTCCCAGTCCTTTCTAATTTCCGCCGGGATAAATCAATTTAGATGTATTAGCTTTGTACAAAAGAACTCCAGTAAATTTTTAATAATAATTATCATTATCACTGATTAAAGTTATATTATTCAGGCCAGATGGAGTCCTTTTCCTGGCAGCCACAATGAGCTTGCATTATGTAGTTATAATGTGTTTGGATCTAAATAAACAGATGGCGGCGTCGACAGGATATTATACACTGATGATGTCAGCAGCAGCGCTTCACAAACAGAATGGCTTTAAATAAACTCTGTTGTAGTAAGGATTCCAGTACTTTTGAGAGATGACTGGAATTGAGCCTAGTATTGTATTAACTTGGAAATGGTACCGTTCATGTAGACCATCAGAATGGTTGAGGTTCTGCCGGAGAAAGCGTGTTTGCTGACTGTGTGTCTTAACCACACAAGCATTTCATGGTATCAGCCCCCTCGGTGTCACCAGAGGGGAGAAACCATCCAAGCTATAAGGACTTCAAAGTTGAGGAGTTAAAAATTGTGGGTCAAGGAAAGGTAAATGTTTGATGAAAACACTATTTGATAACATTTACAGTAAGTTCACTTTGCTAAACACCTGTTTAAGATTATCCCATTTACAATTCATATTAGAAAATTGACAGAAAAGGTTTAGTAAAAAGCAGAGGACGGAAAACTTTTAGTCTTTAATAGATTTTCATGTCAATTTTCCATTCAAAAAATGAGCCACGTGCCTACAGAACTTAGAATGAACCTATGAAATTTAGAAATAAGAATCAGATAAAGTCGTTTTTCCATGAATCCTTAGAGTTAATATTCTTGAGGTTGATTCCTGAAGGGAATTTCTCCCTGGACAACTACATAGTTTAGGCAGATACCCATGGTAGAGGAAGATGTCACTGTTGACGATTAAAGCCAATACTTGAAAATGCAAATAATACAAAACAAAATCAGAAGTGTGTGTTAAATAATTGAAATGAAGGTTTCAAAATGCAGCTTTTCTAAATACATGAGCTTCCCTTTTATTCTGATGACTTGTCACGTGTTTGTAAGAATATATTCATGTTTTCAGAGGCTTCACTTTTTCTAACTCCTGCCTTGATTTTTAATATCTGTTCGTATCAGTAAACTGTGACCCTGGAAATTGTATCAAGTAGATAGACCCGAGGATTAACAAACAATGTATAGAGTCACAGTGAAGCTATTGATTTCTAACTTTCTGAGAAAACTCTCATATTGTTTACTTCCATTTCTTATAAAATGATCAGAGGATTTGAATACCAAATTACATTTCAGTTTCCTATAGAGTGTATATTCAGGTTTTCCTACATAACGGAGCATGTTACAGGCTATATTTCAGCTCTAAGATAAAAGTTATCATAAAAGAGTATCTCCTTTGAGGGCTCACTCCTAGTTGAGGAGGGAAAGACATGTAACATGTGTGTCTTTTCTCCCTTTTCCTGCAGGTGGACGTTGCCATAAGTCTTGTACCGGCCGATGCTGGGGACCCACAGAAAGCCATTGCCAGACTTGTAAGTGTTCAACAGTGAGAATGTATGAATTTGACATAGTCAAAAACTTTTATGATGGATGCTTTTTTCACTTCTGGTCATCTGAAACCTAACAATGAGCTTTTGTGGTAGATTTACTTCAATCCACATGTCTACCTGTGTTGCTTTCCAGGGAATTGTAATATATAGATCACTGCTTCTACTTTGTGGTTTCTAGGTTAATGACACAAACAGCACATCTCTGGTGGTATTAGCTACAACTTCAGAGTCTGTCTCTCTGCAGAAGTAGGAGCTCCACATGCGTGCAAGATGATAATAACTCAAATTTAGGTTAACTGGCTACCTTAGTATTTTCCCAAGCAGTTATATCACTATTTATGCATTAGAAAAAAAAAGGGGGAAATGAAGGGCCCTGTGTACCCATTATATTCCAGGCACTGTTGTGGGGACAGGGATACAGACTATGTGAATTATGGCTATAGATTCACTACCCATATTATAAGTATATATGCACCATATGTTGACAATGAATATTGCCCTTAATGTGTATTTTTTCTTGGATTAGTCATTAACTTCATATCTTGATGAAGATATCAATGCTAAGACATTAAAAATAAAGTATATTGAGTATAAGAACAGATATATAGTTTGTTAACATCCTTAAAGTCAGATGATACTCAGACCAGCATTGAACTTTCACTTGTCTTAGGTTTTTTAAACAATGAGAAACAAAATGCCCTATACAGATGGGAACACGTGTCTGTCTTCCTATAATACAGACAGCTGAAATATATGGACAGCACTGTGTTGGCAAAGTCACCTGTATTTCTTTATTAGCTTAGAGACACACAGAAAACATTAGTGGAGATCTGGATGTGAGAATATCAGATACTGTGGAAGCTGTTGGACTGTTGTGGAATGAAAGCTCAGACGTCTAATCTGTCTCAGTCCGTTATATTTGCTAGACCCTGGTTTAGTAAAGAAACACAGAAAGAATTGTGGTGAACCACCAAAGAATGAAGTATAGGAAAGATGTATTCTCAATAGTAAATGATTTCTTAGATTTATTTTTTTTTTAATTCTAGGGCATTTTCCTATTTAAAATTGATAAAATAGAAAAATATATAAAGATACAAAGTGTCTTCTGACCGGATTCCCACCTTTGTTCCTCAATCACTCATAGGCAACGGATATTATATTATTGGTCAGTTCCAAAGATAATTTACGCATACTCAAGGAAGTATGTATATGAGGACTCACACAATTTCTCAAATATTTGCATGTTTTGCATATTGCCCTGCAACCTGATTTTTTTTTCAACCCATGCATGTGTACATGAACCATTTGTAGTATCAATTTCTAGAAGAGGAATTTGTAAGGTCATGGATAAACTTGGAATTGGATCCAGATCACCACGTGGAGATGTTGCTCTCTGTAGAGGTTATAACAAGCATCTCTCCCTGGAGTAATATATATAAATGCCTGATTCCCCACCCCCATTTCCTTGATAAAGGGGTACATTCTCAAACTTTTGGGTCTTTGTTAAGGGTTAGATGAAAAATAGTATCTCAGTGTAGATTTAAATTAACTAATTTAATAGAACAGTGCTTTATAGCAGAAATGTTTTGACAAGGATTTTAAATGGAATTTTAAAGTAAGATTAGATTACTGTGTGAAATTCATTCACTACATTTGGAGACAAGGTTTTAATAGCAAAGAAGTCAAAACCGAGTCATTCTTCTGTGAATAGGGGCATCGTAATATTCAGTGCCATTGTGTTGTCCCTCTGGTCCCAGATCCAAAATCAGAATGACTTCCTCCTCCAGCCTTTCAGCATTCTCATTCCATGGCCTCTTGCAACGAAATACAGTTCCAGGGTCCCTAGTTGAATTTAGCAGGCAGGAAGAAATGGGTCTACACCATCTTTTCCAGATCAAAAGTCTCCTATAGTACTTTCAGTAACGCTATTAATAAAATCAAACTTATTATAATGGTTAATTTCATCTTTGTCTAATTTTGTAGAATCCGAAGTGCAGTAGTACAGTTAGATTTCATATACAGATGCTTAGTCAGCTCTCTATATATGTGGTTTCTATATGGTGGGGTCAACCAACTGCAGATCAGAAATATTAAGGAAAAAACACAATGAACAATATCATTACGACAGTAAGAAAAATACAAAATGATAAAGTATAACAACTATTTCATTGCATTTGCATTCTTTTAGGTAGCATCTATACTCTAGTGACGACTTAAAGTGTATGAGAGGATGTGTGTAGGTAATATGCAGATACTGTGCCATTTATATAAGGGAGTGAGCGTCCATGGAGGATGGTATCCACAGCAGTCCTGAAGCCAATTTCCTGCAGATAACAAAAAACTCTATATTTATATTAAACAGAGAAATGGAAAGATACAGAATAATCATTCTCTTTACACTATGAGCAAACTCTTAAAAATCACTGTATGAACATAGAATGGGAAAATAACATGAATGAGTTTTCTCAAACTTTTGAAAATTAAATTTCCCTTAAATTCATGCAGTGCTCAAAATTCTGAAACTTTAAATTTATTCTACTGTATTTGAGCAT